ATTTGAGATGTTGGCTGGGTGAGGACCTTTGCAGTGATAACATATGGGTGCATTCTATAGGTTTATAATTGCCTCCGCAACGCACGCATACCCAGTCTCTGGTGCAGAGCAGAAAACTGTGAAAAATCCCTGGCATCTATAGCATTGTGGAGGGCCAGGTTTCTTGCGTAATGATTCTATCGATACGTTCATATAGCCTATGCGTTTGATTTTGAATACTTCCTTATTTTCTTCTGATTTTGGTATATGTACTAAGAAAAGCGGCATTGGTTTATTTTCTCTTCTGTTTCTTAAAGGCCCACCAGCGGCCAGCGGTTGAACACTGTAGTTCGTCTGAGGTTCGAATCCCGCGAACGGGCTGGCTGCATGGGTTTTTCGTGGTTTTCCCCATGTGTAACGTGTATACGAGCCAGTTTCCCTTAGAAAGTCCTCCCGAAGGCATCCCTCCCTTTAGGCAGATAGCCCTCGTGTGCTTTGCATATTAAATACACCAACACACCTTCGTTTCTTAATAGTGTAATAAAGTTAACCTTAAATCCTTTGTCAAGTAGTTCTCGAGTGATGGTTTGGGGATCTGTGGTGATGAGTAAACCTCTTATTATGACTTTTAAAACTTTATAGGGGCAATAAACTTCGGGCAATAAGTAGGTGTGGGCCTTAAGCTTTGTTTCTTCAACTATTTTGCGAATGAATCGATGCGAGTCTGCAGGCTGTATTTCAAGGCGGCGTCCTTTTAAGGTGCCAGTTATCTCTTTTCTGGTTTGCTTGTTTAAGTTTTTTAAGAATTCGTCCGCTTTTGGTACGTTATCTACGACAATAATGGGCACTTTATCAATTCTGCTTGTTTTGGGGCTGGAGTTTGGTTTTCTATTTGCGGGAATGGTGTCACTTTTGTTTGGTTGGTCTTTTGGGGTGGAGTGAGTGATCATCTCTTCGTGTCCAAATGCATGTCGTCTATTTGGTTCTCTAATTGTTTATATCGATTGCTGGTTTTGAGCGAAGGCTTCTCATCGGAGTCAGAATCAGTTTTGTCTATGGCGCAATTTTCTTTTCCTTTGAAACCACTAGTGGATTGAAGTATGTCGCAGAAGTTTTTAATCTCTTCAAATTGTTTAGCGAGCTTGTCATTAGAGGTTTGTAATTCGTTTATTTTTGCATTGGCCATCTCGTTTTCCTGCATACACAGTTGATTAATTGCTTTTACAAGGAGAAAGTTTAGTTCTTTTTTATCACTAGCGGACATAATTACATTTGGGTCATTATGGATATCTTGAATATCTTTCACCAAGGATCTGGTAGTTTCAACGTCATTGGATAAAGTAATTTTGTGACTTCATATTTGGAGAACATTGGGTTCATCATTGAGACATCTCGTGTGAAGATTTTCTGAGTTTGGAGGTGAGTTTTCCATGTTTGTGTTATTATTAGTTACATTTTTGTTTGTTGTGTCATACACACTTTGTCGGGAAAAAAAATGCACCCAGAAGAAATCGAGCCACAATCACGAAACTCGGCAGCAATGTTGTCTAAGAGAAATGCAAATGATTTAAATTTTGAAGCGAATGAGACAAGGGTAAGCGCATATAAGATGCGCAGCTGGGATAGTTTAAAAGCGTGCAGTAGGGCTATTCAAACTAATTTGTCGACTTGGATGGACGGTATTAATTAAATACACCTGAATGGACGGTATTGTAATTAGAGATGACTCCGAGACATAAGCGACGGCAGTACGAACAATTGTCAGACTTTGAGCAGGATAGTAGGCCTCAGAGAAGCTGGTTGTTCGAACAAGCGCAACGGCCACCACCTCGGTCGTAGCGATGGTAGTTACTCGGTGTTGGCAACAATGGATCACGGAAGGGACAATCTACTGTCGCGGAGGGTCAGGGCGTCCCAGGAATGCAAATGAGCGCGTGTCATTAGGACGGCCACTTCCGCACCAACAATGTCGCTAGCATCAATTCAACGCCATTTACCACCTTCCAGGCACCCAGTGATATCAAGGGAAACCATTCGGAGACAAGTGGCCGACGCTGGTATATGCTGCTGACGTCCATTAAACTGACATCATAAGCAATGTCGGTTGGATTTTTGCTGAACTTGGACAATCTAGAGTGTGACAGCGTGGGGAGCGGTTTGAAAGAATGTCTATGTAACAATACATATTTTGTGGTGGTTTGTTGGAACACACGATAACCTCTACTCGTCCTTCAAGGCATTACGATGGCTTGCAGTTACATGGACGGCATTTTAACGTCGGTTGTGCTGCCTATGCTATAAATCGTCCAGGTGCCATTTATCAGCAAGACTACACTCCTCCACATACTGTGCGACTTTCTCAATGATATCTTCAAGGATATGATGAACTCCTGTGACCTGCAAGGTCACCAGACCTGTCGCTACTAGAGCACGTTTGGAAGGCAACTAAAGCCGTTTCCGGAGTATTGTTGAATTAACTTCAGTTTCAAAGATTATTGCATGATCTTCCACAGAGGGTCATAGGTGACCTACATGATTTGGCTTGTATAGCTGCCAGAAGTGGCTATACTACTTACTGACTTGTAACCTTTTTCATATCATAACTTCTTAAAACTATCTTTTGTTCTGAATTTGTAATTATTTGTTTATATCCTCATACACTACCTACATATTAACTTTCGTGATAGTAATTAGTTTCTATCTGGCTGTATATATTTTTTGTTACAGATTGTATATATAGATCAGCCCATTTTAGGGTTACAATAAAAAGTCGATGCATTACTTGTATGTTCTGTTTAGAAAGATCAAAGTAATTGAGTTAGACAGCCAAATCTTGGGAATGAGTTACAACAGGGGTTGGCAAACCTTCTTTGCAAAGGACCAGATTGTAATAAATTAGGCTTGGTTAGCCAAAAAAAGGTTTCAAAATTTTTTAGGATGTGATATATTTACATATTTTCCCTCCCAATAAAAATAAAATATTTCCAATTATTAAATATATTATAGTACAAATTATACTTGCACTAATGTGATAAATGCAAGTTTTCTTCTCAGGTAATATTTCATCATGATAAAGTTCGAAATTAGTGCTTACTATTATTGTTAGTAAAGTCATATATTAATAATTATCTATAGTACGATTTTACGTACTTCATTTTCGAAAATGACCTTTCGCATTGGTAATTACACTCAAGTATCCCTATGCGTATCATTTTAATTACCTGTATTTATCTTCCAAAAGGTATTAATACAATTGTATTAGATTCATTTCTTTAAATATCATTTTAGCATTGCAGATGAATCACTTCCAACTGTAGATGTCTACACACTTGCATTAAGATCCCAAAACCTTGTTGTAACTGTCATTTAATTTTAAAAAATATATTCGTCTGGATTTTTTCGTGAATGAGAATTTTGTTAATATTTAAAAATTTTACCATATGCAAAATGCTCAGACTTGTTTAGTATGATCTGTGTTTCAAACAATGTAAATTTTTGTCAATAAGACTTTTTGATAGAATATTTCACATATGCGTTTCCATGTAATTTCAAGTTAAATTTATTACAATATCCCAAGATATCTGTAGCAAATGCTAATTTCCATAGCCATTCAATGTCTGATAACAATAGTTATGGGCACTTTTTCTTTTTTAGAAAAAATTCTGTTATGATAGGACAAATCGGGATCGTCAGCTTTGATCTCTAAAAAAACGAACAAAACTAGCAATGGTCCACGACAGAGAATAAAATAAACTGCTAAACTGCTAACACAACTTTTCAATAACTCACGATAGATTGAGGTGTTTACCATAAAAAACCTGTAGATGAATATTACACTGAATTACTAGATGTGTTAATATGCATAGATATGCATATTGCAGACATTGTCTTGTACAAGTTACATGTGATAGTTAGATATAATCATGACAGTTATGTGCACATTTAAACATTATCTGAATTCATATTTAAAATACTTTTACTGAGATAAGACATAAACTTTGATTCAGTTACATATTGACTGGATTTCTAATCATTTTAAGTGCTTTACAACATTTTTTTAACAGTACATATAAAATGATTAGAAGAAGTTTCATTCAGTAGTTCTCCTTACATATGTTACATCTATGGGGGGAGCTATTTTCTAGTGTTGATTTCATTTATCTGGCTAAATGGGTAGAAGTTGTGTACTCAGTTTTTCGGACTTACAATTCTTAAGGGAGGAGGAAATTCTTAGTACCTGGCATACGTGATCACCTCTCTCTCTTAGTTTTCGCCTGCTGTTGCGCAGGTATTCTCTGCCCATGCGCCAGATCCTGTTTGGTACTTTAATGCATTATCGGTATGTGGGGTTGTTGAAGAGGTCCAATTCACACCTATGCACCACATTCATAGAATTCTGAGACTCGTTTGCTGAATCTCTTAAGATAATGTGGGAAGGGACCATGGCCAGTGTAGAATACAGTTTGTGCACCACTGTATATTTTACCTGAGCATGTAACTTTCGGAAAGAACTTGTAGGTTCTCCTCCCTCTGCTTTCTGTTTCCCATTTTTTTCTGACATTATTGTAAAAGGTTATGGCTTATAAAAGATTTTAGTTACGGCTTCATTACCATTTTTTACTTTTACGAATAAACTGTGCTCTGATGAAGCACCCCATTTTAAATTTTATAGATCGTCTATTTTTTTTGGTGAATTTTGAATAATGTGTCGAGTGCTTGGTAATTGACGTATACTGTATTCTTTTTGCACAGCTATGATGTCATTACATAACAAACATAATACTTTGTCATTTAATTCTATGACAAAACTCGATGACTTCAAGATCCTCTTTCTTTTCCTGTCTGTCTCGAGAGTTATAATAGTTGTGACCAGATGGAGTTCCAAAGAGAGGCAAATTGTAGGTGCATTCATATCAGCTGCAAAAGTACTGAAGAAGGATATCTATACGTATTATGTCTAAAATCGTTACATCATATGATTATGGCAAAATATTGTTTGCAACTGTAAAGAGAAAATGAACTACAATTAAAAATTTATTAATAATTACAAATTATTCACAGAATAAAACAGAACTCATGCCAGATCCTAATTAGCTCGTCTTTGAATTGAAACAAGTCATCATATATAAATAAAAGATTTTCATAGTTTATATATAGTTAAAGATATATAGCTGAATGCATTTTTAGGATATTTCATATTTTTTTAAACACCTTTTCCGAATATATAAGGCCTTCAAAACTTCCGTTAAAACATTTCAAACAATACACTTCGTCATTATTTTCCCTTTTAACACAAGAAAAATTTTCAATAATTAGAAGAAATATCACTTTTCCAAAAGCTGAATATACAGCTTTATTTTTTACATCATACAGAAAAATATTTATTCACATAATTTTGTGTTTTTCATGAATAAAAAAGTCTGATATTTTGAATGAACAAATCAATTTTCACAAATGAATAAATCTGACAGTTATACGAAAAACTCTGATAATCTTTAATGCAAATTTCGCAAATAAAATTACTTATTTCTAGAATTTAATTATTTTATTACATGAGAAACAAAAATTGAAATGGAAGAAAAACTGCTTCAGCTAGGTAAATTATGAAATTATGTCTCCATTTTCTTTATTTGCCTTCCTGTAAAAGACAGAAAGTAAAATAAATACACTCACTGAACATTGAATAAACCACATATAAACAATAAAGTTTTTATATATATGTTATGAGCTGAATATCTCTTTTGTAATAAGTTTTAAGAATGCAGTAATGCAGACATTCTCTTAAATCACACAAAATTTTATTCCTCTTGTTTCCTTTTCACTCATCTCTGTAAGGAAAGGGTGGGGACAGACATGAAGAAAGAGCAATATTTCACATAATTAAAGACATCAACATTACACTAAAAGTTATGATACAAAGAGTATTGCAGGACATCAGCACCAAACAACTTTATTTCTTTTAAGAAAAAAGCTGTATCAAATTCAGCTTTTTTCCTCCTTTAAATAGCAACTGCAAACGCCTCTTTTATAAAGAATGCACAGGGAAGATGATAATTCGTAAAAATATAAAGTTTAAAATCTTTTTCTGGTAGTTTGTACCTGGAAATTTCCAAGTAGCATTTAATTAAGCTTTTAATAATAATAATTTTGCAAGTCAGTGAATACTTACCATTAAAAAAGCTTAAAGTTTTTAGATGTTAATGTGTTTTGTTTTCAAGAAACATATAACTTCTGGTTTCAGACAGTTTTTACTATTCCTAGTACACTTTTTAATGTATGAGCATAAATAGTATTCCTTGATTAATTTCTAGTATTCAATATTAGTATTATTAAAGTTATATTTACTGAAGTGTTCTAAATTTTCAGTATTACATGCATAATAATCAAATAGGATTAAAATATTTACCTAGATTATCATAAATTTCTCAAGAATTAATATTCTTGAAGTTAATAAATTTCTTGCAGTTTTATTAAAAAGTAGTTCACCAAATTACACCTATAAAAATTTTAATTCTTAAGTTGTTGATATATATAATATATAATTAAAATTAACTAAATGGTCAAAGAAAACAAATAAGAAAATAAACAGTGTTTTATTAAGAGCCTATTAATGGTATTGCAAACATAAATGGGGTAAACTGAATTTTTTTAAAAATATTAAAATTAAAAACTAAAAATCGTGTCAAAAATATTTGCTATATCATATAAATTAAAATATAGCGATATAACTGACTAAAAAGTGAAAAAAGTTGTATTATTATCTCTTATGTTTTCAAGAGAAGGTAAAGGCTTTTTATAATAATAGACCTTTTCTAAGCAGATTTATTTCGTTTCATGTACGCTTAAAATATGAGGAATGAATTAATAATCAAATTTTCAGAAAAGTTAAGACTCCGCCCTACAGAACAAATCTAATCCAAGCAACACAATATATATCAATAGTATCAGTTTTACACATGAGAATATCAGTGAAAATTTCAATTCAATATTAAATAATATATATAAAATATTGAACTCCTGAATTTTTTTATCTATTATACTTTGATAATAATTTTTTAAAAATTTAGCATCACTGTATACAAAGGAAAAAAATAATTACAACAATGAAGCCAAAATGTAATTATGTACAGAGCCAAAATGTAATTACTTGCATCTTGTTAAATCTCTGAATCGAACTGATAGAATATAGAATTTTTGAAAGAGGATTAAGCAATGTGCAGTCAGGATTGTTTATGGTGAATTTATGTCCTTGCCATGTAGTAATGGTGAAAAAAATCTGAATTTGAAAAAACTGTAATTTAAAAAAAAATTAATTTGGTAAAGTAATGAAAAATAAAAATTACATACAGATAGATCAGTTTGAATTTATTTCTATTATAAGTTATTTTAGCCTATATTGCATAGCATCAGAAATGGTGATCCATCTACCATTTAATTAGAACGGGAAATTGAAATATATTTGTACATCTTCTTGATGAAAGCAAAAATATTTCAGACCTTTCTAATGATTTGGCCATTTTGCTTTGAATTCTTCATTTTTGCTTAGTCCTAAAAATTGTTCTTACTGGTTCTCAACCTTTTCTAATGCATTTTTGTAATACTTTGGAAGATTTATAATATATAATTTAATTACAATAGACACATACACTAATATAACAAATAACTAAAGAGAGAAATGAGAAAACTGTTTTTCAGCCCTGAGCTGGAAGAAGCAGACAACACACACAGCCAAGCCATACATAAGAGTCTAATTAGTGGTAAAATTAATGATCCTCATTATCTACAAGAAAATTAAATCCTTATTCTTCAAATTATATCTTAGGTCTCTTCTATTATTATTCCTCACCATTTAAATTTAAGTGTTCCAAATATGGAAATATGCTCAGAAAAGGTACTCACATGCATTGTCTTCATTGTGATCATTCAGCTTTTGTTTATATTTCACCAAGACTGTCTCTATAATATTAAATTTAATTTTATGAACAAGAAAGTACAGCATGTGAAATGTAACTTACATAAGGGTTTAAAATAATTTGAATTTAACAAACATTCTCTATTTGTATAAAGCAAATTTAAAGTTAATTAAAATTAAAATTTTAAATTATGAAATTTTAATTGCATACAAATAAATGATTAAATACTGCTCCAAACTAATTTACAATATTTAAATTCTGAGAGCATATGTAAATTAAGGGCAAGTATCTAAATCCATGAATAAATTTATAATATTCCAAAAAATTAATCCTAAAAATTTTAAGGCTAAATTAATTTGCATTAGTGAATAATTGTTGAGCAGACAGGAGACAGATCTTATCATGGGGAAGTTGCCTCCAAACCTAACTCTTTAATTACTCAATTCATGTTTCGTCATCCATATAGGCATGGGTCTAGTAATATTCAAAACCAAAAGTAAATCAAATGTAGTGAATTACAAAAAATTTTTAACATAAGGAATTTTGAGAAATTTATAAAATTTTTTGGAATATTATATATTTATTCATGGATATATAGATACTTCCACTTATTTTACATATGCTTTCAAAATTTAAATTAGTTTGCAACAATAATTAATCATTTATTTGTATGCAATTAAAATTTCTTAATTTAAAATTTTAATTAACTTAAATTTGCTTTACAAATAGAGAACGTTTGTTAAATTCAAATTTCATTCCTTGCAGCAATGGCAAAAGGGAATTATTTAAATTTAATTTAACATTACTATTTATTCTTAAGAAACAGTTTATTCTTAAGTTTTAAAATAATATACTTTTTAATAATCACTGAAGAATAAAATAATTTGTGAGAAAATATGAGTAAATTTACAGTTGATTATCACCTTTGGCAAATATATATATATATGTATACAAAACAATTTTTTTAAAACAAAATATAAACATGCCTAGTGTTTTCCTGCATTAAGCTGGTGAAAAATTATCATTAAAGACATAAAGCAAGAATTAATTTTTCACAAAAACCAAAAATTGAAATTCAGAATTAATAAATTTCAAATAATCCTATAAATGCAACAAAGAATTAAAAAAATGTTAAAACCAAAACTTTTCAAACAACCAAACCCCATTTAAATTTTTTACAAAAATTCTTGCTTTTCTGTATCCAGAATTAGCTGATGAATCATTTCAGTGTATTTTAATTATAATAATTGACCTGAAAATTCTGGCCCTGCCCCAAAGCAAGGGAAAAAACAAAGTGAATTCTAATTAAAACTTGTACCTTTAATAAAGATAATTCTATTTTATTTTAAGAACTGAAAACAAAGTGAAATAATAAAATACTTAAGCAAAAAATTTATATAAAAATTTTTACATTTAAACATATAGCATACAATCCAGAGAATTTAAAACATTAGTGAAATTATAAACCATAGTTGAAAAGACCCAATTAAAACTCACAAGAAGTAATTAAAAACTTTCAGCACTTTCATTAGACACCAATCAAAACTATGAGATTCGTTAATGTAGTGACATACAAGTTTGCCATTTTGGATTTATTGGCAAAATTAAGAAAGCTTGGCGAGAAAGTAATCGCTCAAAAGGCTAAAAGATGGAATTTGAAACCAAAAGAAAAACTTTTAAATATTTCAATGAAAATGATTTATTTTAGATTACTTTATTAACTGAATGGAATTTAAGTAAATTCTGACTCTTTTATAACACAAGAATAAATAATATCTTTCAGTGCAAAACTTTTAATTACATTTTAAAGCCTATTAATCTTTAAAAAATATAGATTGAAAAAGGTGCGTAAAAAGTGGACAAAAAGTTTTTAATAATTGTTTTGTAGATATGAGTAGAAAAATCCATAAAGATGAATTTTAGATTTTTTAATATTGTTATTTAAAATTACAGAAAAAGGTTGAAAAAGGAACTATGTTAGAAAAGTAAAAAGTCTTCATATCATGGGCTTATCATGACAACTATGAATATACAAGGCCCTTGTTTAGTAACGTGAGAGTAATTAAGAGAAAAAAAAATCCTATACAGTCAAAAGTCGTTAATTCGGACACCCATAATTCGGAATGATCTATAATCCGGACCTCAAAACTAAAAACTTTCAGCGCATGCACCGCGTTGAAACATGCGCATAGGCGTTTACGCGTGCGCGTAAGACCTTTTACGACTGAGCATGTGAGTGTGCGCAAGTGCAGAATATGTTTTCGCGTGCGCGTTTATGTATAAGGATGTATAAGCTAAAATTATCTAATTCAGTTAAGTTGATGATTGCGTGTTCCTTAATTTCGAATTGGATCCGGCTTATTTTTTTTGCAGACTGTAAGAGCATTTTATAAAAGTAAGCTTAAACTTTCGATTATATCAATAGAATTTCCGATATATATTGTTAAATGTAAGGATCTAAAGCGAAAGTATTTTTTGAAATCCGAAATCTGTTTATCAATTCACGCTGCTCGGCCGGGGGGGGGGGGGGGACGCCGCGGCGGGCGCGTAATGACTTGGAAGTTGATCTGTCAGCACTATCCTTATCTTCAGCGCAGATGTTTTTATTTTATTTGGCTTATAATTCGTTACCAAATATAGTATTTCATCTCGATATGCTCCGTCTTTGATATGATTTAAAACAAGTTCCTCGTCATTATAATTCGCTTCCGATAGCGAAGAAGAAGAAACTGACAGAGGTTTTATTGAAAACGAACAAATTTCGATTGACAAATTAGTCGTGTTCTCGACACAGCAATTATAGGACTTGAACAGCGGAACTTGTAACTGAACAAGAAATTATGTCTGTTTAATAGAATTAAAGAGAAAGTATTATCACATGAAACGAAGCAAAACTTAAACAACTTACGTTGAAAGAAATGTTTAATAAAGTAAACAAATAAATATTAAGCTTTTTCTTTTTGCAAATTTTGATACCCTTTAGATCATAATTGTTCTTTATTTCATAAATTACGGTTTCATGTTTGTAATTTTAGAACTTCTGCATGGCATCTTATGAGATTTAAACTGATGATCTATAATCCGGAATCGCCGAAGTCCCGACGAGTCCGAATTAACGACTTTTGACTGTATACCCTTTTAAAACATCCTTCTTTATACTTTTCTTTTAGAGCTTTCAAATAAAAAATTCACACTTTTAAAAGTATTGTAGGGTGTAGACTACTCCAGATTTCTTTAAAAGACTATTAATGAATTTTAAAGGAATTTCATTATATTTTAAAATTTTGGTGAGAATTAAAATTTCTTCCTTTTGTGTTTCTATTTCAGTGCAAACTTTTTTAATTCTGCTAATTTGGCTAATAATAGTATTTGTAATAACTTTTTTAGATATGTTGGAATTCCAATTTATAAGTTTATTAGTAGAAAAATTAAAATCTTTTCTTTTATCAAAAATATAATTTCTGTTAGATTAAGTATACTTAGATCAAGATAAACTATTTCTGTTTGGTTTTTATTGGTCTTATTTAGTTTTAGACAATTTGGGTAGATCTTGCTGTTTTCAATGAGATTAAAAATGTTCAAAATAATAATGTCATCAATATATCTAAAATAGTGCTCAAATTTACTGGGTGTAAGAGGAGTATAAAGTAAAACAAGGTAAGTTAATAAAAAATTTTACGTATTTAAAAAAACTGCTAAATTTAACGAAAACGAGTTTTATTATATGAATTAAATTTAAATTTGATAAACATTAATAAAAAAAATTGATGATTTTTGAAGAAATTTTTCCAAAATTTTGAGATGAGTAAGGAATTAATAGATCGAGTTCATGATGTAGTAGTCACTTGTGCTGGATTCTGAGGTGAAAGCAAAACAAACTTCCAATTCAGTCTCTGACAAAATTTCGGCATCATAATCAATATTCTCACTTAAATCTAGAGTCTTCGGTGACAAAATAGTCACATTTACGATTCGAATATACTCATCTTCTGTTAAAAACTTCTTTTTCGTAGACATTGCACTATTAGTTCAACTCTCTTAACCAGTGCAAAATACGTATCTTTGCTATCTAAAGAAGATGCAAACTGAATATAAATCAGAGTTTTTAAAAGCACAGCTCCACTCCCAATCTTCCCATAGGGAGGAAAAATGAAGCTTGGAAACTGTTCAATGTATACATCATGTGAAGCCTCAATTGTGTGTTACTAATACACCTTTCTCCAAAGGGTTTTCAATTCAGCAACATGCATTCGCGAAGGGTTTAATTATAAGGTCTACTGGAAAGTTCTGTCTGATAATGTTATTTCAAGTTTCAACACACATGCATGTGTTTGAGACATATATGGCTGTCCTCTAAGATAATGCTGTGTATATGGTGGGACGTTCAAGGATAATTACCAGCTTTTGGAACCTAAAGAAAAGCTCAATCCAGAGAGATACAGTCAGCAAATGCATGATTTAAATAAAACAGGCAAAGAAAAGAGGCCAGCGATGTTCAATAGGAAGCACATCATACAGTATTGTGATAATGCTGGACCACATGCTGCTTTGGTGGCTCGTCAAAAAATCCCAGAGCTAGGCTCGGAAATTCAGCCACATTCACCACACTCCACAGACCTAGCACACTCCTATTATTGCTTGTTTCCTTCCTTGCAAATTTTTTAAGGTAAAAAAATTCAAAACTGAAGCAGATATCAGCCAAACACTATTTGAGTTCTAAGGAGGAGACAATTTTCACAAATGGCATTTACAAAATTGCCATCATGCTGGCAAGAGGTCATAAGTAACGACAGAAATTATATTGTAAAATAAATATCACTAGAAGTATAATAAATGAATTACTTTCTTTCACTTCTCAAACAGACAGTATTTTCTGGTAGACCTTATATTTTCAGTTGCCCTCAGATTAGCAGTAGACATCATGCTTGGTGCATACCAGTTGGCTATACTTGAATTTTTTCCCTTCTCCTTTCAGATTTGGTTAAAGAATGTATGATTGTAACTCAAAACATTGTTGTTTTTTATACTCAAATAATTACACAGATAAAAAGCATATTACCTGGGTAAATTATGGAACTTTTAAAGAAATTTCCACAAATTTTTTTCCTAAAGAAAAATACAAACATAAAATTAGTGGTTCAGAGCAAAGCATATTGGAAGTATTAACACAACATTGGTTTATTTATTATACTCCAAAGCCAACATCATTACACTGAGAATTTAATTTAAAACATAATACAATACACTTTATAAAATAACTTAATATTTTCACAAAAGTCTGTGAGAACATGAATTTTTTAGTTTCTACCAATTTTGATTAATACCTTGTTGAGTAGCCCTTTGCTGCATTTACAGCTCAATAACAATGTTCCATAGAGTAAATCAAAGTTTAGTTTATCAGGTGTTGTTATACGATACCACAATTGTGTAACTGCTTCTGTACTTTATTTGATTTTTGACCAATAAGGCCCATATCACACGGCGTTTGTTTCACACGAACAACTGTTTCGGACAACTTTTCTGCCTGGTTTAATATTGAAAGAAAGACGTGCGACTTTTTCCTTCCTTTCGAAAAAAGTTGGAAGTTGTTCGTTTTCAACCAATCAGCTATCAGCGCCGAATGCTGTTAGCTTGTTTGTAATGGAGAACCAGTTTCCCCTGTGTTAACCCCAAAGCAAACTGTGGTGATTGGCTGTTGTGACAAAGCAGAAAAATTGTTCCAAACAGTTGTTCTTTCGAAACAAACCGACGTGTGATAGCAGCCTAAGTTTCTTTAACTGGATTCAAATGTTTGGGATCATGGCTACAACCTGGATATTATAGCAATGCAGTATTCTGACTGTTTATGAATTAGCCATGTAACTTTTTCTTTATGACCTCATCTAGCATTATTGATAATATTATATTACTAACATCAACAGATTACGGTCTTGAAAGCTAGAAAGAAAATGCTACTCTATGTTCATCCACAGATTACTGCCCAAATGTCATGTAATGCCGACAAGGATTTTGCAAATGACATATTCAGTTGGGAGATAGAAGTAGAAAAGAAACTGACAACTTGAGAAGTATGTGTAATGCAATACTTGAAAAAAATTATCAGAATAACAGTAAAAGTAATTCTAATATTATATTACTATCATCAACAGATTACGGTCTTGAAGCTAGAAAGAAAATGCTACTCTATGTTCATCCACAGATTACTGCCCAAATGTCATGTAATGCCGACAAGGATTTTGCAAATGACATATTCAGTTGGGAGATAGAAGTAGAAAAGAAACTGAAAACTTGAGAAGTATGTGTAATGCAATATTTGAAAAAAATTATCAGAATAACAGTAAAAGTAATTCTAAATATAAACCAGATCCTGTGACTACTGCAGATCAGGCAGATAAATTTATTAAGCTCAGCAAAACTAAAAAGAAGAGGAATCTGTGTTAGAAAAAGATTAATTTAGTTATCAAAACCAAAAATAAATTTTCTTTGAAAAATGTTGATAACAACCCCCAGAATTAGATCCAGGTACCAGCAACAGTAGATAAAATACCTCCAATTATAGTAAAATAACACGTGCATGCTAGTTTTGCTGACTTTTTGGAAGAAACAAAAATCTCCACAGAGTGCCACAAAATCAATAACTTTGTTCTCATGGCAAAGCATCAATTCCAATTAAGATACTTCTAAGGGGACTTAACATAAATTCGAATAAGAATGTTGTCAATGATGCACTCATTGAACAAAATTTTTCTGTCAATAAAATTACACAGTTACTGAAAAATAAGACTAAGGCTCTGATTCCAGTCCCAAACAATTTATGAGCTGATTGATGTAACATACTTTTAATAACAAATGAGAAATTTATCTGTCAAAATCAGATACATAATATGTTAACTGCCAGAGATGGCATCATTCATCAGAATTTTTCTTCTTTAAACCCAGATGTGTCAAATGCAAATTGGTGTACAAAAATCTTCTCTGCATTCAAAAAGGAAAAATAGAAAACCCTTTTATTGTAAACTGTGGTAGTCTTCCTCAAGATTCTTATAAGGAATGTGTGAAACTGCCGTCACTTAAACCCAGAAAACTTAGCAGAGTTAAACTGGGAACTCCACCCAAACAGGCAATGAAATAGAAAATTGGCTAGTGATTCTGACTACTGTACTGACGGGGCCCAGGTTCGAATCCCAGAGAAGGCATTGATGTCATTTGTCGATTCCCTCATAGGAGGCAATGGTGGCCCACCTATTAGGTGCCTTCATAATAAAGAGACTACCGCTTTCAGCCTTGTTACTGGCCAATGCCTATAAATGGCTAGAGACTGCAATTGGAAGGTGTTGGTGTTGGGGAAGGCTGGGAGCTAGTTACACGGCATGCTACCAAAGTTACTATCTCTAAAACCAACTTTATGCTTCATGCTAATAGAACTCTGCCCAACAAAATTGCTGCTGATGATACTTCTAATATTACTAGTGATCCTAATTTCAAAACAGCCACAAATGATGAAAACCAGAACACAGTAATAGAAGAAGAACAACACTACGTAAAAATACTCTCTTGGATATGCTCTTTGCAAAACTGTCACTGAAGTTTATTGGGGAATTTATCCCTAATTAAAAACTAACAGTAAATGAAAAAAGTTATTCCTGCCCTAGAAAGATACAAAAATAATACTGATTGGACTGGTGTGATCTCAATTATGTTCCAATTATTTGGCCAAAATGGCACATATTAATTCCATTTACATGTATTGAATTTAAACCATTTTTTTAAAAGTTATTATCAAATAGTTTTTGTTTACCTCTGACTAATAGTATATTAACATCACATATTCTCCCACCTCCTGGCTTTTTAGCACCACCACCACAAAATTTTTTAAATATTGCAGTAATTTTCTCCTTCCTCAATATGATCGAAGAATGAGCTCCCCTAAATTTTAAAATGGATTCATCCATATAGTGATCGATTTTATCTCACTAACAATGGCAAACTCGCAAATATCATGTCAAACCTTGTAGGGTTTATATTTATTTTAACTAACATTTATTTTAAGTTTAAACTATCTTTCCTGTCAAGCCTTACTTTCCCCTGGAACTGCCAATGCCAGAATATGTAAATTTGAGTAGAACGCGCAAGGATTCAAATTATCAGCGGAAGTATTCTGATTTAAATAGCAAGGAAACGAGTTCGGTGTGATATTCTTACTTATAGCGAGCGCGGAGGTAGTTAGCGAGAATTGAAGAACCCCGCGTTGCGGCCTATGTGCTTGGCGGGAAGTAGTGGTAATCGTTCCAGTGAGCTTCAAGTCTGCTGAATTAGCAGCGGTATTGTAAAACGCGGTGAGTTAGTTATTTTAGAGAGCCTCGTAGTTAGAATCTTTAGTTTCTTTTCAGGTTATTATTTTTATTTGACTGCCGAGTTGGCACCATCTGTAAGTGTCAAGAGAACACAATTGTAATTTATTACGTTGAATAAAAAGGGACTTAAACCCTTCACAAGGCTCTATCTTTTATACAAGTTTTCACAGTCAACTCTTGGTTGCGTGCAAGTTGGAGGCGCGCAACGTTATAACCTTATAAGGTATTTCTCCCCCCTTCTTAGCGAGCCTTCGTGGTGTAGTGGTCTGCATGCTCAGTGCGTAATTGAGAGGTCCGTGGTTTGATTCCCAGTGAAGGCATTGCTAATTTTTCCTCTTTCATGCTTCCAAAAAAATACCTAATACAGTCAAAAGTCGTTAATTCGGACACCCATAACATGGAATGATATATAATCTGGACCTCAAAGCTAAAAACTTTCTGCGCATGTGCATAGGCGTTTACGCGTGTGCGCAAGACCTTTACGACTGTGCATATGCGTGTGCGCAAGCGCAGAATACGTTTTTGCATGCGCGTTTAATGAATAACGGACGGTATAAGCTAAAATTATCTAATTATCTATTTCAGTTAATGTTGATGATTGCGTTGTTCCTTAATCTTCGAATTGGATCCGGCTTATTATTTTTTGCAGAGCAATTTTATAAAAGTAAGCTTGAACTTTCGATTATGTCAAATAGAATTTCCGACGCTGGATCTACAAAACGAAAGTGTTTCGATAGCCATCAAACAAAAAGTGGAATTGCTGCAAAAAAATGGATAAGGGCATGAAGAAAGTGACAGAGAGGTGATTTGTTTCTGTAATCATTCCAAAATCTGTTTATCAATTTCACGCTGCTCTGCTCTGCGGGGGGGGGGGGGGGGGCAAATGAACTGGAAGTTGATCTGTCAGCACTATCCTTATCTTCAGGGAAGATATTTTTATTTTATTCGGCTTATAATTCCTTACTAAATGTAGTATTTTATCTCATTGTACTCCGCTTTGATATGATTTAAATCAAATTCCTCGTCATTATAAATATCACAAATACACATCAAATAGTTTTCTGGTTGTAATTTTCTAATTTCGACTATGCGTAATGTACGCTTTACATATGCGTGCGTTGAAAGAAATGTTTAATAAAGTAAACAAATAAATATTAAGCTTTTTTTTTTTTTTTTTTTTTTTGTAAATTTTGATACTTTTTAGATCATAATTTATTTCATAAAGGACAGTTTTATATTTTTAATTTTAGAATTTTTGCATGCCATCTTACTAGATTTAAACTGATGATCTATAATCTGGAATTGCCAAAGTCATGACGAGTCTAGATTAACAACTTTTGACTGTATCTCTACAGTGGCACCCAAACTAAAAGGGTATTGGATGATGATTCTACTCATTCAGGATTTGGTGATTGGGTGCTCTAAAAACCCCAATTGCTCTTTAAAAGGGGGAGTATATAAGATATTTCTTCCGCCTTCTTAGCGAGCCTTCGTGGTGTAGTGGTCTGCACGCTCAGCGCGTAATTGAGAGTTTCGCGGTTCACTTCCTGGCGAAAAGCATTGCTAATTTTTCATCTTTCCTGCTTCCAAAAAAATACCTAATGTCTCTACAACCTTTTCCTTTTAACTAATAAACTTTATGTCAGTCTAACACAAGAACCAATCAATCACAATGAAGCAGACATGAATTGACATACACTCTATGATTTGCTGTGTCAGCAGCACGTTAACTTTCTCTTATTATTTATGGATAATTTGAAGCTAAGAAGTATCAGAGACAACTATAAGGATGGCTGATTCAGTTACAAGGAAATAAAAATGAAGGTATAGATATTGTAATGTTAATATTGCTATGTATTCTTGCTGGAATGCACATATCTTTTTAAGAAAAAAAATATTGTTATAGTTACTTGTAATTTATCCATGAGTTCTTTTCATTTAATGCATTTTTACTGTAATAGCATCTTTTGGAAATTCAGCTATTTACATAATTTTTCCTCTTTCAATTTTTGGATGACAAAATTAGTTAAAAAAAGGGGGGAGAATACAGTTGTTCTTTAAAATCTTAATTACTTGATTTAATAATTTTGTTCCCCTGCCTCAGGATTTTCTTAGAGCTTTCTTCAAAATTTTAAAAGTCCTGAAAAATCTTTCAACTCTCCCCCCATCCAATCATTTTGTGCTTGTAAATAATAACATTGCATAGTTCGACCATTTAAAATGTTTCTCTCGATTACATGACCAAGAATCGTTCCTATTTACTACATAGCACATAACATTTTAACTTCATCAATGAACGCAATGAACTGGAAGTTGATCTGTCAGCACTATCCTTATCTTCAGGGAAGATATTTTTATTTTATTCGGCTTATAATTCCTTACTAAATGTAGTATTTTATCTCATTGTACTCCGCTTTGATATGATTTAAATCAAATTCCTCGTCATTATAAATATCACAAATACACATCAAATAGTTTTCTGGTTGTAATTTTCTAATTTCGACTATGCGTAATGTACGCTTTACATATGCGCGCGTTGAAAGAAATGTTTAATAAAGTAAACAAATAAATATTAAGCTTTTTTTTTTTTTTTTTTTTTTGTAAATTTTGATACTTTTTAGATCATAATTTATTTCATAAAGGACAGTTTTATATTTTTAATTTTAGAATTTTTGCATGCCATCTTACTAGATTTAAACTGATGATCTATAATCTGGAATCGCCGAAGTCATGACGAGTCTAGATTAACAACTTTTGACTGTATCTCTACAGTGGCACCCAAACTAAAAGGGTATTGGATGATGATTCTACTCATTCAGGATTTGGTGATTGGGTGCTCTAAAAACCCCAATTGCTCTTTAAAAGGGGGAGTATATAAGATATTTCTTCCGCCTTCTTAGCGAGCCTTCGTGGTGTAGTGGTCTGTACGCTCAGCGCGTAATTGAGAGTTTCGCGGTTCACTTCCTGGCGAAAAGCATTGCTAATTTTTCATCTTTCCTGCTTCCAAAAAAATACCTAATGTCTCTACAACCTTTTCCTTTTAACTAATAAACTTTATGTCAGTCTAACACAAGAACCAATCAATCACAATGAAGCAGACATGAATTGACATACACTCTATGATTTGCTGTGTCAGCAGCACGTTAACTTTCTCTTATTATTTATGGATAATTTGAAGCTAAGAAGTATCAGAGACAACTATAAGGATGGCTGATTCAAGTTACAAGGAAATAAAAATGAAGGTATAGATATTGTAATGTTAATATTGCTATGTATTCTTGCTGGAATGCACATATCTTTTTAAGAAAAAAAAAATATTGTTATAGTTACTTGTAATTTATCCATGAGTTCTTTTCATTTAATGCATTTTTACTGTAATAGCATCTTTTGGAAATTCAGCTATTTACATAATTTTTCCTCTTTCAATTTTTGGATGACAAAATTAGTTAAAAAAAGGGGGGAGAATACAGTTGTTCTTTAAAATCTTAATTACTTGATTTAATAATTTTGTTCCCCTGCCTCAGGATTTTCTTAGAGCTTTCTTCAAAATTTTAAAAGTCCTGAAAAATCTTTCAACTCTCCCCCCATCCAATCATTTTGTGCTTGTAAATAATGACATTGCATAGTTCGACCATTTAAAATGTTTCTCTCGATTACATGACCAAGAATCGTTCCTATTTACTACATAGCACATAACATTTTAACTTCATCAAAAGACTTTTTTACATTTGCAAAATAATTTTTTTTTTTTAAATTATTACATAAAACACTTTAAGGCTGGATTTTTTTTTAGAACTCTTTGCAATGAACTCGTTTTAAGTTTTGAAGACTTAGCTTCAAATAATAAGCAGGGCAATTAGTTAGTTATGAAATCTGTGAGAAAAGTATCATGCCACTTAAAATATGCGTAAGTCCAAAGCCATTACACTGGAATCAGAGTTTACGTATTCCTCAATTCTAATGTCTGATCTCAGTTATTGTCAATGATTCTGGGTTCAAAAGTCCTCCTTTAATGTTGCAATTTTTAATTGTTTGTCATTTTTATTTTAATCCAGGTAAACTGAAAGGGCCATTTGAATCAATGTTTGCCTGCAGAACATTTTCAAATTCATAATGACACCCGGATCTAAAAGTTGTACTACACTAATACAATTTGCCAGGAAGAAAACAAATCATCAAACACACCTTGCAAAAAATCTGTCGTTTGATGGGGGTACACTGATCCATAAAAAGTAAAATTATGCAGTTTTATTTCTGTATAGTTTTGTCTTAATTTCTTGACCCATTCTGTAAAAAATGTCTGTAGATAACCATGCTTTCTTATTTACTTTATGTTCTAATAGCAGAGTTTTAACATATTTGAAGCACCTTGGTTTTTGTGATTTTTCGGTAGTTAACCGCTTGCCTGATTATCCCGAGTTATCTCGGGTTCGTATATATTGCAGTTGATTATTATCCCGAGAAAACTCGGGCGAAGCAGAATTTGTTAGTACGATTTCTTTTATCACGGTTTTATTTGGTCTGGAGGAAATGAAAGGAAATATTCAGCTTTGATTGGCAATTTGCCAAATTTTGTTGGTTGTGCGATTCTTTTAGAGGAACTGGTCACATGTTTCTCTATTGTATTGTATACGTTGGCTTGTGGATTAGTAATGTATAAAGAAGGATGCATGCGTTGAAAAAAAATAAAATGATGGCGATGATGCAAGATAGCGAAAGCGATGATTTTTCAGATAATAATTATGAAGAGGTGGGGAAAAAAAAATCAAATCCAACGAGACAGTGTACTCTGTGCTCCCGTGAAAGAGATTCCAGCGTTAAGCCAGTAAGAAAAGAGACCAGATACCAGTGTAGAATGTCGGGCATCACTCTTTTGTCCCTTTTTCAAAAACTATCATACAAGATTAAAATATTAACTTTTTTCCATTTGCCGAGATAACTCGGGATAGTAAAATAATTAAAATAAATGCTTTATACCTTCAAAAAATTAAAAATTCAACTTAAAACCTACATATTTTGATTTGTTTCGTTTTGTTGTATTTAATAATAAAATAAAAAAATGTGATGATTTTTTGCAATTTTTTTTCAAAAAAATTTGTACGGGAAGCGGTTAAAGAAGTCATTTCCCCCTCCTGCAATCAGCATTTGCACAAAGTGACATAGCGAGATCTTCTCTATTTTGCTTAGCTCCACGACACTGGTCACCTCTGAAAGTTAATGTTCTCAGTTTCAACAATATTAAAAATGTCTTTTAATTCCTATCCATTTATTTTGATGGATAAATTCTTGTACCCCTCTTCAACTGACTTAGGAGGTACACATTTTGATTCTCCATTTACCATGTGACATGAGATTCCATGCTACAGTTTATACAGCCATCCAGCTGAAAAGCAAGTTTCCTTCACATTCAGTCAAAGTGCTATATTATTTGATTTCTTGATTAACATGGGACCATTCACTGGAATATTGGAGAAAAATTTTAGGAAAATGGCTTCAACCTCAGGAAACTTTCTATCTTAAAAACATAATTACTTTCAAGCAGACTATTGACAAATTTCTGCTTTTTCTTCAGCACTTTTTTTTTAATCATAAAAAAAAAAAAAAATTAGTGTTGTCACAGGAATAGCTGAATAGCTAGTTTCTTTGCTTATTCAACTTTCCTCAAACTATTATTCTCATAAAATTCTTTTACAATTTTTATTTATCTTTCAATGATTTTTTTAAAAAATCTTTTAAAGATTTGAATTTTATCTTTTATTTTGTCTTTTGCTTTCATAATATTTTGTATCAGTTAATTCTGCTTCACCTACTTTATTTAACACAGCATCCTGTTCAAACAAAAAAACTGTATCTGTTTTTCATTTCAAGTATCCCCTCTATTCATGAATTTGTTTTCATTCCTGTACCAGACTGTGATGTCTCATAGCTTTGTTTCCTTCTCCTACTCCCATTTCTGGGAAAAATACTTAAATGATAAGCCTGAAGAAGTATAAAAAGCAACACAGTAAGTCAAGCAAAAGTGATGTATAACCAAAGTTATGTGATGTATAAAAGAAATGTTTTACTATTAAAATAAAAGGGCTGAATTAGGACTAAGATGAATGACATATAAATGAGAAATGTATAAACAGTACTCTACTGTATATGAAATTAACTTTTTATCTAAATTAAAATAATATTCTTAAATAGTTATTTACTATCAAGCTTCCTTCCTTGCCTAAGGGATACCATACTTATTTTTGGCATCAACAATAATATGGCATTTTTTTAATAATCGTACAAGAACGGATTTATTTAAGGGGAAATCTTTGAAAATGCTTATGCAGTCAGCATATTCACCATAACTAAAACTGAATTATCAAATTTCAATGATCTTATCCACTGGAACACTAGCGGACCTATTAGCAAAATAAACCTTTATTTCATCATTCAGAAGAAGAAATAACTCAAAATAAACAATAAATGACATTAACAGCTTCCAGAATTTTATGCACTTACCTAGATAAGCATGATTTTTAACCAAAGCTCTAACTGCATCTTCATGTGTCTGGAACACCACGTCAAATTCCCCAGTTCGGATACCGCTTTCATTATAGATGGGTTTGACAGAGACAGGCTGTATTCCAACAGGCCAAAAGAACTAAAAAAACATTTCAAATACTTAACCTTATACATAATAATACAAAATTACGAAAGAAAATTTGGTTTAAACAGCATATTTTCATACCCAATATCATGATTCAGAAATTAAGTATAGTTAACTTCCAATTATCAATGTGCAGAGTAACCGAATCAAAGTTGGGCCTGCTTATTATAAAATGACGAAAACAAATTATTATTCAAAACTATAAGTTTAAAACATAACTGTCTACAGAAAATACAAAAACGGAAAAAGGTGCATGGGATAATAGCAGTGATAGAAGATGTTATGGAGGTTGTTAATTTTCAACATATCCTGATCACTGAAATTGATTAACACAAAAACCCCTAACATATTAACAGATTGCATAAATTTAATTGATTGACTCACATTTATATTTAAAATAACTTTTAATTATTGTGAAGAACATGGCACAAAATACAAAGTTGCAGATACAAATTTTGCATATGAGCTTTGTGCAATTTCCAGCAGGGGAAAAAAAAAGCTTCCAAGATCAAGTGATGGTGATGTCACTGCTTCAGCACAGCCTCGAGAGTAGCTCATCAACTATGCTGCCATTTGGTGGTGATAAGAAGAGTCAAAACCCACCACAGTACTCCCAAGGGAACTGAAGCTAGAGATATCATGGATTTAAGGAACTTTTCATCCAGTATGTGTAGTTGTCACAGGAATGGGTGCAGAAGACGTTTCTAATGGAGGTGAGTTGGAATCAAATTCAGAATAAGATCTGTTAAACATTTTTTTCAAAGTGTCATATTTATTGTTTTCAGGTGGTGTGATGATAATATCAATAATGGAATTATATATCTCAATCACTGGCATCATTCTCATCGATGGCCATGTAGCCAACAAAAACTTAGCTTCTAAGCAAACAAACCAAAGAGAGAGATTAGTTTTTCAAAAAAATCTGATGTGTACACCACATGACTTCCTGGTATGGAATATTAAATTATACGCATTTTTTCTTGCATTTCGTTTAAACTTATCGGATTTAATTAAATCTACTTCGCCGACAGGGCATAAACCACAATAGAATAAATGCATTCTTTAAAATTCACTCTAGTTTTTGTTTACCATAGCGACACTCTGGTGATAGGTTCACTTAACAGTATTATATTTCATTCATATTATAACACAAAATGCACAAAATTTATTTCTTTCAAAGAATTATCTAATCGTTGCCACATGTTCTATTCAAATACTATAATAAAGCTAGAACGATGTATAAAAGAAATTAAGCAAACAAAACAAAAAAAGAAACAGTTTTTCACAGACGATTGAGTATTTCTCATTAAATTAATTCAGTTCTCACTTCGCGACAAGGCAAAAATAGATAAAAACTCAAAATATCTGTATTAAAAATTACTAATTATTAAAAATTAAGTAAATCTTAAACACTTATTTCCTCGAAAAAATTCCAGAAAGGATTAAGCATGATTTAATTTGCAATAATAAATGAAGGCGTTATCTTTATTGTTGCAAAACTACATTTCTCTAGATTGGCAACAAATCCACTACTCTGCTGTTTAAAATGTAAACAAGCAATGGCCGCCATCAAAAAAATTATTAGGCTTAGCGGCACTTAAACAACTTTTAAATTGCTGATAATTCTAAAAATATTGCACACAGATTTACTAAAGGCATAAAAACCTTAACCGGAAGATAAGAACAACATAAGTCAATCATTTTTAAAGCAAAAAATGTACAATTTACAAACATATAAGAGTAAAGAAACTGAGATCACTGAGGCGGGTAACAGAGTGGATATATTTATAAATATATTTATATACATTTGGCGTGGCCGATTGCAACCAAAATACGAGGTGCACATCTACATGTTATAGTAGTCCTATATACAAAATTTCAATGTTCTGAGGCTACTCATTTTTGAGTTATGCAAGATACGTACGTACATACATTCGTACAGACACCACGTAAAATTCTCTTCAGAATTCATTTTAAAGCAGTTTTATAATTTTTTTAGAGGAAAAGAGTCTTTTATTCTGTACAGAAATCACACAAAAACATCGTTAAATTGCATTTGAAAGCAGTCAAAATGGATATTTTTGTTGAAATAAGCTGCCTGAAACTTTTTGTGATTACAATACTTCCTTTTTACTTCGTACACGGAAGGAATACTTTTGAAGGGTAGAATAATATGCCTTGGCAAACAGCTTAAAGTTTCAAAATACAGCCAGTTTCATCTTAGATGTGTTTGCTGGAAACTATGATCATGTAATACATTTGTATACTTTCGATAACACAGTTACACACTTTTTTCTGATCCTCCGTGCTACCTAAGCGCTTATAATAAATCCCTTCCACACTTATATATATGCATCTATTTCTACAAGCCCAGATAATACTACCACAGACCCAAGTAGATGCATACAATGCTTTTACAACGAAATATAATTTTGTTTCTTCTTTTTTGCATAGCAGTTAAGATCACAATATTATGTTGATATATGAAACAGCCATAAGATTCTTCTCACTTCACTATAAAGTCACACAAATCAACAATATTTTCATACTGACTGTACAGTAATCTCAGTTTCAAAAATGCTTAAAAAGCTCGATTTTTATTGGAAATATGTCAACTTGAAATGGTGATTATTTCAGGGTTGCCACTCAAACAGGAGAACAGAAATTTCCTGATGACGTTACATATATATATATATATATATATATATAATCCCCAAACATGAGTTTTTTCTCTTCTGGGGATTGAGATTAGAATCTGCCTAATCAGAATTTAAAAATGCCTTTTCTGCAGACATTTTGCAGCTAAAGGAATAAAGAAATCTGTTTAATGATATTTAAAAATAAATTCAGATATTTTATATTTATTTAACCGCATACATAAGTAAAAAATACGTGCACTAAATTTTGTGATGGTACGTCATATTACTGCCAGAATTAGTTTCACAAGTATGCCAGAGAAAATTCTATGAAATTTGAAAGCATTAGCAACTAATAATAAATAAATTTAGAAGAAAGACGACACATTAAATGGTACGAATAACATTTAAATAAAGTTAACTACTTAAGGATTAAACACTGAATTACAAAAATTGACAGTATTTTGGTGAATATAGATATATTAAATAGAAGGCCCAGTGGTTCAGTGGCTAATGTGCTGCAGCACCACAGGTCCGGGGTTTGATCCCCGGACTGAGCAAAGTTGACTAAGCCTTTTATCCTTTGAGAGGGTCGGTAAAATTAGTACCAAGTTCACTTGGAGACTAAACACCGATGGTCCTGTGACAAGCTGACCATTTGTCCAGGCAGTATGCACAAGCATGCCGGGGCCCACGGTCTAGAAAGTAGATATCAAGGCACTGCCGTCGATGGCTCTCTAAGGGCTGTTTGAAGCACCGAGTTTAGTTTTAATTTCAGTAAATGGTGACCTAGATGACTGATTATTATTATTTTATTTATTTTATTGCAAAATGACAAATAAGGCATTTAAGAAAGAAGAAAAGGTTTAAAAGATTTTGTTTTATAAGAGAATGAGGCGGAATTCGTTCAAAGTCCACTGTACATGTAAATTTCTGGATTTTCGAGGTTACTAGAAACCAAAGATGCTAGAAACTTACTTGTCTTTCTAAAAGAAAATCTAATTGGCACTGCTAAAACTGGCTGCTGGATACATGATTCGCCAAGAAAGTGATTGTTTCTGATGTTGGCGCGAAAACCGCTATTTTGAAGATGGCACATAGAATACACCGACTTACTAAAATATTTAAATACCCTGATTTTTTCTGGTCCATTTCCAAATTCCCCGAGTTTTCCCAGTTTTTCATGTAGCATGGTAACCCTGTTATTTAATGCAATTTTAACAAGGAAATGGATGATTATGGCTAAATTAGGTGAGCCAAAATTGATAATTACAGCTGTGAATCTTATTTTGTGAAAAATTATTCTCAGACCTATTCTTGATTGATGGCCTTAATATCTTTACCCAATAAAATAAGTCAATAAAATTCCTTAAAGTGAACTTATTTATGAAAATGTACAAATAAACATGCTGATTTATACTAATTAAAATTTAATGGACTTCTTAAAAGTTTAATGGTTTCCTGGAAGAAAACATCTGAATTGAAAAATGCATGAACAAACAAGGATAAGAGAAAAATTCATCACGGACAGAGAAACTTTTAAAAGCTTTCAAGAAAAACAATATTGGCTAGTTCTTTTTATTTGCTGAGAGTGCCCTTCATGGAACTTTTCCTTGAATGGTACAACAGTTCTATAAAGTTATTTATATAATTAATTTATTAAAGCATAATTCATATCTTAACAATGGCAATTCTACTTTACATGAATCATGTAAAAAGTTAGATTTGATGTTAACAGAAAATGCTATTAGAGCATAATTCATATCTTAACAATGGCAATTCTACTTTACATGAATCATGTAAAAAGTTAGATTTGATGATAACAGAAAATGCTGAAACTCTTTTCATTAAATTCTTCATTTTATCATTGGAAATATCTATCTAATAATTAAAGAAATAACAATCCATACACATTTAACACTTTGTATGAATATTATGTAATTAATTTCCATACAAAATATAGTTGATAGACACCTAACAAAGTGTCAAAATTCTTTTGTTAGTTTAGAACACATAAATATCAAAGCAAAGCCATCCCCTCACCTCCTCAAGAATATAAGGGAGATGCATCTCAATGACCTGGTTTATTCCCATTACTTAGATGAGGAAGTTTTGAGAGTACAGTCTTGTTAAAAAGGGCTGACAGCAGACAAAACCCTCTAGTTTAAAAGATGCCCGATTTAAGAAATACACACTTAAAAATTTAACAAAAAATATTCTAGCACATTGCTTAATTTTAAACTCTAAAAAATAATGGGATGAAATTATTCACTACATACTGTTTTTGAAAACAAATGAAAAAAGTAGTGTCAACATTTCTAAATAAAACAGATTTAGCTTTATTTATACATTTATTATTGTAACTCTAACACAAAATAATAAAATTAAAAATCTGACTTTTTTCATACTTCATAAATTGCTTGATCTGTCATTCTCTTGGGGGCATTTTTCATTTGAACAACATGACTACTGGGTGCAGAACCGAGCATATTTATGTCAACTGTGAACACAAACAATATTTAGTAAATAAATAACATACAATAAATATATTACTGACAGAAAGCATTCAGAAATTAGACTATATTTCTCTGTTCAGGTCTGCTGATTTCCCAATAAAATAAATCATGAGATACATTAAATATTAGCCTAAAACATAACTATTATATTAAAAAATAAGGGAATGATGATAAATTACACTCTTAAATTTAATCATTTATTTCTAATTTTAATGGGCTCTATCAATTAATGAATTATAATCTTCTGATAGTTAAAATAAATTGAACTAGAGTGATAAAAGATGCAATTACAGACTTTTTATTAAATTTATTAATTTTACAACTATATACTGAAAACGAGAATTGTTAAGGTAAAAAATAATTTGATATTTTCAGGTTATAGGTTTATTTGAGTATGGCAGCACTTGAGAGTTATATGCCTAATGAGAAGAATGCCTTCATGGAGGACTTTTTAAGGGAAACTGGCTCATATTATGTTACACATGAGAAAAATAATAATAATATTAAAAAAAAAAAAAAAAAACATGCAGCCATCCTGTCTCATTAAAGGTGTGCAAGACATAATTGTGCACCAAACGTAATAAGCTATTTATATCAGATTATGAGTGTCATAAATCAAAAGGGTGCTTTGTAGTGATTGTGCTGGATTATTTAATGAAAACTTTGATAGCAGCAATAGCTTCCTTTCCCCAAAAAGTGAGAGATAGAAGGAAGCACAGTTCACTTTTATTGTTAGCAAGCATATAAAATGAATGATTTAGCAGCTGCCCAATATCAGCACCTACAAGTTAATCATAAATACAACTTTATTAATCCTAATACCAAATATCATATACATACTAAAAAAGCTATGGGGCAAAGTCAAATGGCAAAATAAATGTCAGTTTGGCACTACCTACCTCCACACCAATTTTTTAGCTAATTGAAATCATGTGGCTTCAGCTGCATGACAGAATACAAATGCTTTCAGTCACGGTAAGTGAAAATGGCAGCTTAATAATACTCCTATGTAACCTGAAATTAATCTGGGAAATTCATTTTGTAACTGTACCTTTTCTTCTTCACTATTTTACAACCATCATCATTTTAAAAAACTATCATCCTTTCCATGAAGCGATATATATTGAAAAGTATTAAGTTTTCACAGAACAAGTTCATTTGCAACTTAACCTACTAAATGCCATGGCTTATTGGATCTGCTCTTGAAAACCTGTATTTAAACAGTGTCTATTTGCTCAGTTTTTATAAAGTCTTTTTATATAGTTTTTATTTAGTCTCTGTTTTATAATATTTACATTATTAAAGCATATAAGAAAGCAAAATATTTCAATTATAATCTAAAAAATCTCAAGACCAGATAAAGGCGTCATGCCTCTTAGGGGTTAAATTAATGACCAGTTGCTGATTGTTGCATGTTTTGCAGAAATTTGAACAACATATAAAATAATATACTCTAATGGCTATGAATAAAATTTTTTGAAAATATTTAAATATATATTTGCAGTACCACTTACCACAATGTCGGTTGCGAAATCTGCAATTTACAGCTTCATTTTGTCTGGCTCTTCAAAAATATTTTCTGTACATCACTTATGATTTTTGTAAATGGACCCACTGACCATTTTGTTGCTTATTATAAAGGCATTCAGTTTCTTTGAAACTTGCTTGTACTACACATGAATTATATTCAGTGGGGCCCTCTGTTTAGTATTTTGTATGAAATGCCCACTAGATCAACATTATTGATTTCAGTTTAGCAAATTCTAACACAAAAAAAGCTTTTTGTTCACCCATTAACACCATTTTGATTCATTTACTGCTTTCAGTTGGATGTGTGCTGCTAACTGCTTTTATAAAAACTTGAACTGTTCTGTATTTAGTACAAGGTTTGTTTTTGCTGTATTCGTCTTTTTTACTGTTTTGAAACCTGGACATTACAATTTATTGTTTTGAAACATGGACAGAATTATAAATAAGCTGGCCTATTTATAAATTTTAAGATCTTAACTCCTTGAGTGGTCACTTGGTATATATTAGTTTATAATTTAAAATATTTTGATTTCTTACTTTCTTTAATGATGTAAATATCATCTTAACAAATAGAAGTTTACTAAAACAGAGACTGAATAAATATGCAAATAAATTCTGTTTACATACAGGTCTTCATGAGCAGATTTGAAAAAGCCATGTTACTCAGAACCTTTTCTATGAAAAAAGCGGCATACAAAAGGTGCTTTTTAAAAAAAAAAAAAAAAAAAAACATTTTGTGTGTTACCTTTATTTATTAAATAATATGTTCTTCACACTTAAACCACATAAAATTCAATTCTACAGCAATATCACAAAGTATTTAAAAACAGCATATCCTTAGAAATTTCAATACACAGTCTCAAGCGCTAGAGATAAAAATGCTTTTCCCCGTACAGTGTTGTCATTGCTTGCTTTGAAATTGTTGAGTTTGTTAAACAAAAAATTTATTAAAAATTTACAAAATTTGAAATAGGTAATAAAACAAATTCAAAATTTGTGTTTCCAAGTGCCATGTTTGGTTGGAGGACTATGTTATTCAAAATTGATGGCTCTAGGTAGAGTTGTTTTTTCACAATGCGAGAAACATTCATGCATATTCTTCATTATTTAGTTCCTTTAAATATAATACATGCCAATAATATTTGGTGACAACAGTTTGAAAAGTAAATCAACGCAGAAAGCGAAACAACGCAAAATGATGTTTTGAGACTAACAGACTTTTTGGGTCTAATGCCCCTTTGAGCTAAAAAAGTAATTTATTTTTCAATTAAGATTTCATAAAAATGTACTTTTTGTTTTCCTTTGTTTTTTTGGATGCATAATTTCTTCAAACTGGCAGATTCAAGAAATTTGTGTAAAAACCACGTCCATATAAAATGATCAATTATTGTGCTTCTGACATAAGAATTTTCTGAACAATTAAGTATGAAATATGAAAATTTTGATAACTACATATACACTGTTTAACCTTCCAGCATGTGCGTATGCACAAAATTTACGACAAATTCAGTTTTTAACGCACATTTTTCGCATATCGAAGCTGAGACGTTTGAAGGTCATTTCTAATTCCTCCTTTCTACCCTTCCCCACATTATGGAATGTGCCAACAGGAAGTCATTTGACATTTCTAACTGGGCTTTTGTGCTACGTGGCAACTCTTTCATAAAATTTACGAAACGCGTGGCCGTGTTTTAAATTTTGGAAAATATTTTTTTCTCACATATTTTGTAATTTTGTGTTATTCATTGCTGTGTAATATTTTAATTTGAATACATTTGGCTCTGTAAATTTTATATTGGTTTTCATGGCAAAAAAAATCTGTGCAACCAGCTGATTTTGTTTGCTCGGATTCTCAAGAATTATCCTGACGGGAAAAAGAACCTTTGGATGTGAGAAACAATAGCGATTTCCATTCCTTATTTTCTTTTATTTCTATTTTTTAGAAATAAATAAAAACATTAAAGTTAGTTTAAAGTGCATTTTTGTAACCAGTAAGAAGTAAATCCCTTGCAGAAGTAAGTAATGCTAACTTACTTTTTTTACCTACCAAGGTGTTTTCCTTTTTTTGTCTATACTGTCTTTGATGAATATTAAATATCTTCGATTTTAAAATATAATTATTAAAAATTAAATTTAAAATTTTCTATAATGAAATACATCATTTCATTTCCATCTCACTAACATAAGAACTTAAAATTAATTTACTTATATTTGAAAGTGATATCATTTGTATTTTGCAATAATAAGATTAATATTTTATTTCTTAACAAATTTCTTATCAATATTCACTCATTTCTGTCGTTTTTCGTGCCAAAAACGGTAAAATAACGGATGTCGTAAAAAATACGACGCACGTGTGCTGGAAAGTTAAATACAGAAGTCAAAATGAATGCCATGATTTCTTAGTGTACTATGCACAATGTAATAAATGTATTCTTTAAAAATGTACATACATGCAGTAATATAAGCAAGCTTTCCAAAGATGCAAACAGATGGCGCTGGAAATCCAGTCGTCATCAGCGTTTCTGCGAAAACAAAACCGGCAAAAAAACGCCTTCATAAAATGGTGACGCAACGGCAAAAAGCATTTTGTGTGCTTTAGCCCTTTCAGGACGGGCATCCCATCCTAAGAACCTGTTATCCTAAGACGTCAATCCCCAAGAACGTCTCTTACAGCTGGGCATCCCATCCATGCATCACTAGAGATTGCATTCAGAGGACAAGTGATGCGTATACGAATTTTAAGCTGGAATGTTTTTCTAAAGACCATTAGATGGCATCCTATGGAAATGAACACAGTTTTAGGTTCCTGACCTTGAGTTTGATATATTCTGCCTGACTTTGGTATTTTACTCATCAATAGGGAAGAGAACGTGCAAACAGAGGTGGGCTCTTTAAATCACGGGGTGTTAATATAAACATTCGCGTGTCTGATTTATATCCAATTCCTTTTTTTTATTCTATTTTTTCCCTCTACTATGTACGGTCTTTTACGGTTACTATGTGGAGTTCTGTTATGTTTTGCTTTACCTTCAGATATATTTCTGTTTCTTCTCTTTTTATTTAGGAAAGCCGCACCTCCAGTCTGTTATGGCGGGAATTCACCATAACAGACTCAGAGGAATTATCAGAGGAAGATGAAAGTGATGATTCATTTTCTAAAGAGTTAGAAAGCAATACTTTTTATTAGAAAGTATACTTCTCTGTGCTTCAAGATTTACCACACTCAGGCTTCATTTTAAATTTTGTTATTTCTTACTGTAAATAGTCTTTATTGCGTTTTATTAATTTTAAACATTATTGATGGATTTTTATCAATTAAAACTTTGGAATAATTTGAATAGCACTTCCGAAAATTATTTTACAACTTAAGCAATTTTTTAAATATATTTTCATGTAAAATAAAGGGAAAAAAAAGTTATTAAGTGCTAATTTTAACATATATAAGAGCTCAAGTAATAATCTAAAATGATACCAGAAATTATGATGCTAGAAGTGAAACTTTTTTTTGATTTTTTTAATAAAATTATGCTTAGCGATGCAAAACCTCCATCCTGTATGGTGACTGCCTACAATTCCATTCCGTCCCGCACGAGCATCTTAACCCTCTGAGTGTTATGACCGGCTTTATCCGGTCACCAGAAGTTTTGCTACTTGGCATATATTAGCTTATAGTTTAAGATATTTTGTCTTGTTACTTTCCTTAATAATGTAAATATCATCTTAATGAATGTACATTTATGAAAATACAGATTAAAATAAGTAATTTATAAACTCAATTAATAAATGCTGTTTAAATACCGGTCTTCATGACGGATCTAAAACCCTGCACCGCTCAGAGGGTTAAACAAAGATGCGACATCATAAAAGGGTTAACATTAGCAAGTCTGTCAATGCTCAGCACTAGTTCTGAACAAAATAGAGACAGACAGTGCCAGATCCATTACTGGTATGCAAAATTTCAAGGGACAGGTTGCATCTGTAAAGGAAAATCAACAGGTAGGAGAAGGCATATTGAAACCAACAGTAGGAGAAGGCATATTGACACCAGCTATGTGAGAAGCTCTCAAAAACTGAATATATCATGGTGGACGAGAATTGGAAATAGCCCAAAAAACTGTGTAAAGTTATTAGGAGGCATTTGCAAATGAAATCATGTCATTTGTAGTTGGTGCAGCATATGAAACTTGAAGATCTGCCACATTATCTTTTTGTGAGACACTTCAAACATTTTAATTATGTGAACATAAAGTAAAAGAATATCGAGGATATCAAAATAGCTATTCAAAATTTCACAATCATAAACCAGTTATGATATAAGATATTGAGCTTTAAAATGCATTATATTTTTGTTATCTTTGGTATTTAAAGGTGCCTTAAATGCAAGAATGCATCAGACACACATTATAAGTTGTTACATCTACAAATATCAATTTAGAGCCTTATTATGTGTAAGCAATAATTTTACAATTTAATATAGTAAATATTGTGATGAAATATCATGACAGCTGAATCACACTTTTTAAGAGAGGGGAAAAGTACCTTTAGATTGTGATGAGATTTGACTACTGCTGGAAATGCCACTGTTTTCATTTCTATTCTCAGGTTCAGAAGATTTGAGAGTTAAGCGTATGAATCTATGACCTGATAAAATATGAAATATAATTTACACATAGAAATTAAGAAACATATATAATCACAAGCATAATATACTTTATGGAAATAAAAGGAGTTATATACATTGATCAGCTCAAATATTATGTCAATTTTCTTAACCCTCTCGCTGCACATCTTGCGATTTCCACAGGCAACATAGAAGTAGCAGAATTTGCGCAACCTGCGATTTCCGTGGGGATGAATCTATTTAACTGTGCAACCCGCTCTTTCCCAGTTCAAGGTTACCTTTCGGCTTTTCTGTGATGTTTAATTTTTATTTAGATGTGGGCTAACAGATGGTGTTAGTTGTCCACATATCTGCCAAATATACAAGAACACGTAATGTAGCATTATGGATGTCTGGATGAAAGACTTTTGACTGTATGTACATTTAACAAAATTAAGTTTACTAGATTACATTTTATTTATATATAGATATGTATATATGCATGTATTTAATAAAAATCAATTAAACAAAAACATCCATAAGAACTTAATTTAATACAAAATTTTCAAGTTTTCTGAAAAACAAAGCATTTATTGAGGTTTTGGAAAATAATCTGATACTTTTCTTCGCATTGTCTTTTTTTAACATAAAATTGTCAACAAATTGTTTGATGTCGTCCATTTTGTCCATTTACCCATTGGAATGTGCATCTAAATAACTGCACATACTTTTCATGATGTTCTTAATTTCGGATGACCTGGGAGCTGCATTGCTCATTTCATTTTCATTATCGGAATCTGCATCAATGTTATTTTTTTAGCTTTGAACAAACTCCAAATTGTCTTTGTCTGCCATAAATGCCATATCATCATCTCCTGCGACAAATACTTCCGATGACACAGTTCAATAATACACACAATCCTGACACAGTAGGACACTCCAATAATACAGAAACTTTCTCAAACATTTCATTAAGTGTCAGCTCAGGTTCAATATCCTCCTTTACCATTTATTTTGGCGTGAACCAAACTCGCAGATTTTTACACACATTAATGTACTTGTCACTGAATTCCAAAGCCAGCTGATGAGAGATGAGATGTTTTTGTGTGGCATTTGTAGGGGTGGAGGGTGAAAGTAGCTTAGATAAACAAAATTGGCTCATGTTAACAGGCTATTCCGAGGGTATTTCAAAGCCAAGTTAGCCTCCTTTCTATGAAACATGTGAAACCACCTTTCTTTCACTTCCCATCTTTCTTAAAATCTTGCCAGCAATGCTTGGTGTTTTATGTATTTTATTCATTCCCAGAAGGGAAAATCTTTCGTCTTAATCCTCTGACTGATCATCCCACGATTTCCACGGGCAACTCAAATGTAGCAAAATTTGCTCATCCTGCGATTTCCACGGGCATACGTTTTTCTTCCTTTATTGAGAAGTGCATCCTGTTTTTACCCTGTTTAACCATTGAAATAAATTATATACAGTATTAAGCATTTAGTTTACGTTTTGGCCAACAGATATCGTTAGCTGTCCACTAAATTGCGGCATTTGAAGGCACGTGGTATTAGTGCTCAAACTTCACTTTTTTCTTACAGAAATGGCTGCTGAAAAACTGTTCAGCGATTATCTTGATTATTTAATTAAATTATTGAATTAATTAATAATTAGATTGATTATTAATTAAATTTATTGAATCTGGTGCAAAGACTGTGAAGTTCGACTTTGCCTGGAACCCTTTTTTGAACTTATCATATTAAATTGCATTTCTAAGGTATTTTTCCCTCATCGCTTTTTATTTTCTTAAATTTTATACATTTTACTTTTTTATATTATGCAATAAATGGAAATTAATTGTAATTCGACTGAAATTTATTTAAAAAAAGATTTTTTTGGTGGTAACATCTGAAATTGGTTTTTCTGGCAACTTAGTTTCTCATGATAAAAATCTATATAAAAAATATTTTTTAGAAAGAAAAAGTGCATTTTTCAATTCTCCAATATGTATAGATTTAAAATATGCCGAAAAAAAAAATAGACAATTTTGGAAGCGATTTTGGTTTGCAAATTGAGCAGTCAGAGGGTTAAGTACGCATGAAAATACACAGTAGTTTGTCGGGCCATTGTATTATTTCGTGTTAAGCGTTTTCCCATTACATGCATTTCACTGTAGCATAGATTTTTTAACTACTGAAATCTAAACCTATTTCTCATATTATTTTAGTTTACATGACATAAATTTGCACATGGCATTTTTCAGAAATCTATTGATCCCAAAATATCCAAACTTATCTTAACTAGCATTGCGGAGAAATCAACATCGATTCAGTAAAATACTACTGATATATAAGTACTACTAGTAAATATGTATTTTACAATAAAAACATTACCTGCATTTTGCATATAGAAAGGTTATGAACACAGAAATATATGTCTTTCTAGAAGATGAGATTCAAATATACATACTTGCATTATATCAGTCTGTTATGCAATTACAGACTGATTGAACTTGAAAAGTTTTTAAGTCCTGACAGTTGAGGGCTTTTAGCCATGTGCAAATAAAAATAAGAAATAACATTCATGTCAAGTTGAATGACTGATAAATACATGAACATAAGTATCTACAAATTTTAGAAAGAACTAACAGAAAGATATTTCTAACATCAGTATCAAATACACAAACTTCAAAAACAAATCTACTATGCTTCTATGACAAGTGGTGTCTCAACCAAGAGTCATAACATGTAGTTTGAGAAACAGAACATTTTGGAACAGAACATTTACGAAGCTATTATCGAACTATATTTACAACTGCATTACAATGTAATAGAATTTTACTCATTCTTTATAAAAAAACATTTTCAGCATAGCTTTATAGCAGATAACTATTCATAAATATTAATCTTGCAGTTTTCTAGCAACAGGTGACCTACCATCTCTGAATGTTGAACAAAATCAAAGACACTGATAACATTACTATACTAAACCCATGGACCTTATAAGAGATAGACTAACCTAGTGGGCGGAGCGCGCGTCACCGACATGTCGGCAAGAAAGATTAGGGACGATCTGGTTTACTTTAACACTGAAACCTATGGCTTTTGTATGACATAACTCTTTTTAATTATTAAATGTGATACGTTGTATAGTGATGAGACTATGAAAGCCACAGTTTTTACCAAATAGGATTTAATATATCTCATTAAAGCACTTTTTACTGCATTTCGCGCATTTTTTTTCATGCGTAATTCTTGTACAAACATCTTTACTTTGGTAAAATGGTAAAAACTCTAAGCACAAAATTTATGAACTTAATTTTTCGTACGAATAAAGTAAAATTAAACAAGATCTGATAATTTTTTTTTTTTAAAAATTTAATGACCATTTTCAGGCAGTGATTTTTGAAACTATAATAATTACAAAACAATCATTTTTTGATTGTATCATCATTAACTTACTAACATTAAAGTGGAATTTATAAAATTTGGAGCCTAAAATTTTCTGAGTGTAATGAAGGGGGAAAAAAAAGGTAAAATAAAATCTAGAAGCAATCAGATTTTATATTACGCCCAAAAGGAACCTTTTTTTAATGTTTCAGATGTTACCTATATTTATTGAATATCATGTTTGTCGCCCGCAAACCACATACATTTGAAAACAGCATATCTATAGAATTTCCGCACTGGAGATAAAACTGTTATTTTCCATACAGGTGCTCGCTATGAACTCGTTGAGTTTGTTAATCCAAACATTCGTTAAAGTTTTATAAAATATGAAATAGATTAAAACAAATTCAAAATTCGGCCGTCCAGATGCCCATGTTCGGGTGGAGGATTACATTATTCAAAATTTGATGGCTCTAGATACTGTCGTTTTTGTCACAGTGCGAGAAACATACATGTATTCATGCAGATTCTTCATTATTCAATTTCTTTACATATAATACAGGGCAATAATATTTGGTAACAACAATTTGCAAGGAGACACGGACATTTATAGTAAAACAGCGCAAAATGCCGCTTCTAAAACTAACAGCCTTTCTAGGCTACCACCCCTTTGGGCTAATAAATTAAATTAACAGTAAATAAAAAAATCTTATGCAGAACTAAAAATAAATTAAAAAAAATAATCACTATAAAATACAAGCAAAATTAATTATTACGGTTAAATACAATTTTAATATTAGAATTAAATGTATAAAAATTTTTAAGGAGTCAAAAGTGTTTATCACTATGATGTATTATGAAATATAATTGAAATAAAATTCCTTTAGAGAAATTGTGCTATAATACTCATCTATAATTTAAAAAAAGCAGCACAATTTAGAATTTTAAACAAAACTTTCAAAAATTCGTTTTTAAATATTTTAGTATTTTTTACTTATTTATAGCAATAAAAAGCATAAAAATTGCAAGAGAAAATTGCTTGTTTGAAATTTTCTATTAGTTCAGATTTAAAATATTATTTTCTAAAAGAAGTAGTTTCAAATTTCCTTAGGAAAAGCTAAAAAAATATCCAGCAATGAAAGCATGCAATAGCTTTATAATTATTTGGAACATTAATTATGCTTGATAAATATGCTACATTTTTTAAAAGCAATCTCAATTTCAAAAATAAAAATATGTAGAATTTCTAATTTGTGAAATGAGGCACTACAACCAGCTTCTTCTTGACAATAACACACGTTGCAATAGGCAACCACTGTTAAATTTCTGCAAGTCATCCCTACTCCTCCAGATGTGATCAAAGTGACAGCTGGGAACGCCTCCGACGAAGGAGAAAAACCCATTTGGGTTAGTCTATTTCTTATAAGGTCAATGACTAAACCACATGAAAAGCAGCAATATACAGTCAAAAGTCGTTAATTCAGACTCGTCGGGACTTCAGCGATTCCGGATTATTGATTTTTCCGAATTATGGATCATCACTTTAAATCTGGTAAGATGGCATGCAGAAATTATAAAATTAAGAATATGAAACCATAATTTATGAAATAAAGAACAATTATGATCTAAAGGGTATCAAAATTTACAAAAAAAGGCTTAATATTTATTTGTTTACTTTATTAAACATTTCTTTCAATGTAAGTTGTTTAAGTTGGTTCGTTTTATGTAATAATACTTTCTCTTTAATTCTATAAACAGACATAATTTCTTGTTCAGTTACAAAGTTCCGCTGCTCAAGACCTATAATTGCTGTGTGGAGAATACCGACTAATTTGTCAATCGAAATTTTTTCGTTTTCAATAACCTCTGTGTCACTTTCTTCACTATCGGAAGTGAATTATAATGACGAGGAATTTGATTTAAATCATATCAAAGATGGAGTACATCGAGATGAAATACTACATTTAGTAAGGAATTATAAGCCAAATAAAATAAAAACATCTGCCCTGAAGATAAGGATAGTGTTGACAGATCAACTTCCAATTCATTGCACACTGTGGCATCCCCCCCCCCCCCGCTAACCACAGAGCAGCGTGGTACAGTATAAACAGATTTCGGAATGGTTAGAGAAACGAAGGATATGCCTTTATCCACTTTTTGCAGCAATTCCACTTTTTGTTTAATGGACATCAAAACATACTTTCGCTTTGTAGATCCTTTACGTATTAGTAAATATATATCGGAAATTCTATTTAACATAATCGAAAGTTCAAGCTTACTTTTATAAAATTGCTCTAACAGTCTGCAAAAAATAATAAGCCGGATTCAATTCGAAAATTAAGGAACAACGCAATCTGCAATATTAACTGAATTAGATAATTTTAGCTTAGCTTATACCGTCCGTTATACATTAAATGTGTATGCGTAAACGTATTATGCGCATGCGCACACACATATCCGCAGCCGTAAAGGTCTTACGTGCATGTGTGCTTCTGCGCATGCGTCAATGTGATGCATGCGCAGAAGGTTTGTAGCTTTGAGGTCCGGATTATAGATCATTCCGGATTATGGGTGTCCAAATTAACGGACTGCATACATAAATAAATAAATACAAAAATATTAAATGTACTTACTTTCATTTCATTACAAAATATTATGTTACAAAATTAATAATAATTAATGTGATTAATTACATTAGTTACTATTAGTATAATATTAATAAACTGAATAGCCTTAAAGAGGACTTATCATATTCCTTGATGGTCATCAGTGAATTTTAAGCATATTGAAAAACGCAGTTTAAGTGATCCTATTTGGTATCTCTTAATTGAAGTAGTCCTATTTTGTATTTTTTAATAATTACCATTTTACTACTTTTTCAGATATTACACAATACTATTCCCTAGTTTTCATTTTCTCAAACATGTTGCTGATGTCTCTTAACATAGCCAGAAATTTTGCCCCACTGTTGACAGATGACCATTATAATTTAGAAAGGTGACTGGATACCATCACAGATGGTGTTCCAAAAAGAACTTTTCTTTCGTTGAATTAACTCACAAATCAAAATAAACTCCAACAAGAACTTAAAAAATAAAACTCTGATTAAAATTGAAATAAAGTGCTAACATATATTCAAAGATGACATGTTTACTTAGTCTATTCCAAATTCTAAGCAGAATCAACAACTCTCTCGAACGATATATTACTGTTACTTCACAAAATCTTTAACATATTTATTAGGTACTGTTCCTCTGAAATTCTGTACAATTAATTGTTTAAAATGACTCTAAAGACATTCTATCCCCTGGCAGAATTCCCATAGCGGAATCAACAAAATTCATTTGATGATTTACGATTAGGTAGGTGTATCATATGACTCATAATTAAAGGCAAATATAGGATAGATCACTTGCTGTTATAGACTTAGCTCATAAGGTCACTTGGGAAAATACCAATTTTGTCTTCTTAACTACTGAAGTACAAATTAGAATGTAATAAAAATATTTCAAACTTCAGCTATATTAAACAACACAAAGCTGGATTATATTTTGAAAAGCAGTTTTGCTTGCAAATGGTTATCCCAGCTCATAACTTCTTTGTGGTAATTTTTAGTGCCAAAACATCTCCAGTGATATTTTAGTAATTATCTTTTCTTTATCTCTATTTGCTAATAAAAGAGATATCCCTAGAGATAGCCATGCATTTCTCTCCTTGATCTTTCAGAACATCAATATTACTAATTACTTTTTCTTCACTTTAAAAGCCAAACATTTTAATTAATAATAAGCAAGCACAGCTAACAGAATTTGCCATGTATGGAACTGGACTAAAATTTTGTTTGTTTGTAATAACATTTTGTTTTTGAGAATTTGGCAGGATTAGCAAATACCATTAAAAATGTTTTTTGAAACTTTAAAAAAAAATTAGCCTGATAATAAGTAAGTACTAAAGCTTCTATATTTTACATTTAAAAAATAAAAAATTACACAATACAAACCTATGAAAGCATTTCTTTTCCTCATAGCAATGACTGCATCAGCATGTGTAGCGAATTCGACTTCACTGACACCCGCAACACGACCACTACCATCATACTTCATACTCACACTCTTTGGCTCAATACCTAAAGGCTTGAAAAACTGAAAAATAATGACAAATGAAATAATAGAAAATAAAAAAAAAGTGATTAATTTTCAGTAGGAATACATTTAGTAACTCTGGGAAAAATATTTATTTTGTGTTAATCATAAAGGCATTATTAATCAATACCATACAGCAGCTTGCATTTAATGCATTTACCACATTAGAATATAGAGTAAATTCTCATTAATTCAAAATCAAGAGTCTGCTTTGGAATCAGAAAAATTTTGCTAAAGGATGAAAGCATATCAGAAAAGCATCATATAAAGATTAATGGTACTCCCTGGTTATCCAGTCAACTTTGACAAGAATCACCAGGCAAAGTGCTACGTTGCCAAAGTAGGCAACCCAGAATTTTATGAAAATGCATTGGCAACCTACTAATGGTTGCACGCAGACTATACTAACACACATAGTGACCCAGTTTGAAATTCAAGTGTCATGTCCGTGCTTCCTGCTTGTTGCGAGTAGTACGTGGAATTTTTTTCTTGTAATGAATTATAATGCCAGTGTGGAGTTTGCCTGCAAATAAAGAAAGTGTTACATTTTTTCAGAAATATTACACTTTGCCTAGTTGGCGAGAGTATAGAAATGCACATTCCGTGAAGTTAATTTGTGCAATTCTCTGATGCTGAAAATTCTGCAGCTCTCTAATGTTTTTTAAGTTAAGACAATTTGATAACTACATGAAGAGCAGTACCAAGCTGTGCTACTAATGCTGAAAATTTTTCCATTCTCTGACTTTTCCCGCCAGTTTAAATAGACCATTGTGCATATATGTAGTAGACAGGAAAAATGAAGGGTGAATTTTTTATTATGGATGTTTGTCACATTTTTAATTTAGTTAATTTATTGCTGTTTTATGTAATTTTGAGTGCTTTGTTACAGATATTTATTTTATGTAATTTTCGGTGTTTCATTACAGAATGCTTCATGAGCTTTTTATTCTGTTAATTTGTTGCTGTTTTATGCAATTTTCAGTGTGCTGCCATTTTTTAAAATGGCTACTGCTTTTTATGTGTTAAGTTGGCAACAAATTAGTTGCAAAGATTTAGAAATTTTATAGGAGGGTTGGACGGATAATCAGACAGTGCTAGATTTATAATAAATTTCATTTTTAAGGACTGAAAATGTAACAAGAAATTTACCCATAAGTAGTGAACCTACAAAGTAAGAGGGTACTTATCAGTTATTAACACATTTTCTTGGTCATAATTTTTTTGGCGACAAAAATGTTATTTTTTAACAAAACATCTCCAATGACATTTTTATAACCCTTATTTATTTCTAGAACATCAAAAATAGAGGTAATTACAAAGAATCTGGCTAAGAGCTCAATAATATTTATAGACTGTTGAAAAGGATATTTGATACAAGACATGGAAAATGCTGTGTACTCTAAGTGTGCTAATAAAACTTTAAATCAAAAATATAATTATGTTAATCCACACACTTTGAAGAACCACACTCAGAATAAGTTATAAGGCTGTGCAAAATGGCATAATATGAAATAATGTATGATAGCATTTGGGAACATATTTAATTAAATTCCAATAGCACAAATGCTTGGAAAATTTCTTCAGGACAATTGTGATAATAAGATTGTGTTTTCTATTGAAAACAATCAAGTTATAAATTAATCATCATAATTTTTTTTTCAAATGTAAAAACAAAAAAAATGTAAGCTTTGTAGGCATCAGTTCTTTTTCCAAAACATACAGCATGCAATTCTTTTCTGGGTGGGTGGGGGGCATGTCACTATGAAAATGTTAACTAGAAGAACCAATCAGTAATAGCAAATAAATTTGCCTAGCTAAAAAAAATTACTTTTCAGAGTACTTCTTTAAAGTGAATTTTTATAGAATATTTTTGATAAAACAAAGTTTTGCTTCTTTTGAGATTGAACTCACAAGTTTGTTTTATTTTACTTTTAATGACAGACATTTAATAAAGTTTAAAAAATGATAATTTATACACAACTACAGGAAAGAGGTTGAAGCACGGAATAAGTTAATTCGATATACTACACCAAAAGTAAAATTTTGCTGTTTTTTCCTCTAACAAAGATCTAAAAAGTTTAAAAATTCTTTAGTTAACATAAAATCTAACTTGGTCTTTTTTTTTTTTTTTAAATATAAATTTAATTAATAAGTTGGTTACTCGCCTTTAAGTGAAACTTTGTTCTCGACTATTTGCTAGTACTACCTGTTATTTACTCTTTTTAAAAAAGAGGAGGAAAACAGAATTTCCCCCCTAACTCTAGGCTGCAACACAAGTTGGAAATATAAAACTTTCTATATAATTTAAAGTATAATAAGTGTTTGATTAAGTACTGTATATGTATTGGAACATTAGCCAATAATAGTTGCAAATATCTATGAACAGTAAAACTGAGAGGATTATTTTCAAGTTTTACTAATAAATAAATTTCAAAATGAACCCTGTATATCATGTAAAAATTTTTGCTTAAAAAAGAAATTTATGAAAATTTAAAGAATGCGATATAGTTTATCAGTAGGGATATAATCTTAACTGTAGTGTGTTGGAAAATTCTTTATATTTGTCATTACCTCACTTAGCTCCTTATAAATTCATGGAAGGCCAACAGGCAGCTATGTGGTTGGTAAGTTTTTTAAAGGTTTAGCTTTAAATTCAAACACTGCTCTTAAAGTTTTCAACTTTAACTAAAAAGGAAGTAGCTATCATAGCACCCTATTTTATTTTAAATGGCAAACTTTCAACTTTGCACATTAGTACAACAAATAAAAACAATGCACAAGTATTATAATGAATCATTTAACAAATTATAAATATGGAAAGACACACACTTCAAACATTTAAACATATACATTGCAGCATATGTTTCAATAAGTAATACAAATTAAATAAGTGTTATATATGTTAGGAAAAAAAAATCTTACGTTAATGACATCTTGCTCTGTTGTTTCATAATCTAAGCCTCGCATCTGTACAATGTGCTTTTCCTCACAGAAATAACGAAGGAAAGAAGTAGCTCCAACTATAAACGAGTAAAGCAACATATTACGAATTACTAAAAAGATACAGTCAACTTCTAATTAACCAATGTCTTGCCAATTGCCAAGTAATTAAGACTGCTGTATACTGGTAGTGTGATCTAGGTTCAAACCCAAGTAAACAGAATGGCTGATTTTTCTCCATGTGTAACATTAACACATGCCAATTTCCCTTTCAATGCCCTTAACAAAGACATCCATCTGATCAGGCAAATAGCATTCACATGTTTTGACACTAAAATAAAGTAATCTAATACGGTTAATCAGGGAAAGATTAACTGAATCTTATCTAAGAAAGGTTGGATGTTCATTGAGGAAGGTTGGTAAATTATCGTCACAAACCATCAGCGCAAAACAAATCTAATGATGGGAAATAGAAAAAAGAAAAGAAAAATGTATACAATAATAGCAATGACAGCAAATGATGTCACATCATTAGGGAATTGTTTTTATCTATATAGCTAGTAGTTTAGTTTCACACAATTTAGAACACTGTGCAATAAAAATAAAAAATTATAACTTTTTAAAATGAGTTGGAAATTAATGATGGTATTCAGGTTCTCAAATAAATATTGTTCAGTAATGCCATTTCATAACTTAATTTCCTCCTTTTTAATGATATTTCATTTTTTTTTTTTTTTTTTTTTGTTTGTTATTTGCAGCATGTCCTTTTTGTTTCAGCTACTGATTTAGGCTTAGGGTCAGTTAATTAAATATGGCAAATCTCACGAGAGATATCTGCTTAAGGGAAGAGATGACTTTCTGAAAAAAACTGACTTGTTTTCATGTTATACGAGGAGAAAACCATCTATGCAGTAAGCCTGTTTTACCTGGGATTGATTCTAGCATTCAGTGGTCTTAGTTATTCAGCCAATAAATTGAGCCCCAGATCCTGATTTAATTTACATAATCAAACACATTTATTTCCCAAATTAAATTATTTGAAATTAACAAGTGTTAATAGAATTTTTCTCTCATAAAATAAGTTACTTAGTTTTCCCGTGTTTTTGCCCTTGGATTAACTGTGATTTTTAGTTAACAGACTGCTTTAACAAAAAAGTACCCCTACGGATATTTCAACCATAATGCTAACAAAATGAGAATCTAGGGCATATATTAATATAATCAGTCAGGAAAGAGAATATTCTTCTTGGTCTGGAAAAGCTAATATACTTAGTTACCAAAATTCGCGAACACTGTTAATCTGTAACATGCAAATGTCAAATACTGACAAAGGAATTTGGGATAGTCACTTTAACAATGAAGTACATTTTTATATGTATATATGGTTAGAGTAGACTTTAAGGTACCCCTTGTATTATGGCAAAGTTATTGTTTCATTTATCGCCAAGTTGTTGTTTCATTTATAGTAGCCTGAAAAGTTGAATGTTATGGAAACCCTATTGTGACGTACTCGGGTGCACAATTCTGAGAAATTTTGAATCGTGGGATGTTTTGTAAGCACTTTTGTGGTGTGTGTTGGTTTTAT